ATTCACTGATAAACCAGCTTTCTGTCTTCTAGAATAGTTAAAATGTAATTTACGAGTTAAATAATTGAATAAATAATAGTAGATAGTTTTATTTGCATTAAACCAAAGAGCACCAGCCAACAGTTTTTTTAAATAATATCAGTATTTTAGTTTATCGAATATGTGTTCATTGATTACATACTGTCAAAATTGCTAGTAAAAATTTCATTATAGACAAGAATTTTATATTACAGATATGATAACGCCGCACTGTTTTTATAAGAATTAAAAATTATCAAAAATTCGTCACCTGAGAGTTCAGATAGCTAATATACGTTACCAAGTAACACATAAATTATTATAAAATTTTTTATAATAATTTATTATTCCGATTCATCTTTAGTTTATTGTTACACTGCATAATATAATTAACGGGATATAACTGTAAACTACTCTGAAATTATAATTACTTTGCTGTGATTTTGACCGAAAAACCCCGGGAAAAAACATATTCAACATGTTACGAATTTGGCTCCAGGACAGAACAGATCCCTCGTTAACCTAACCTATACATTTTACGTGCATTGGGTCTGCCCGGTCATTTAAAACTTTGGCTAACAATTTTCACCAATATTAGCGTTTAATTAGTATGAATTTGCAAGACCGTCACCACAATTTGCATGATAACTAATTGAACGGCTATATATATATATATAAATTGAAGGTGTAATGTTGTGTTGGACCATTTTAATGTTGGTTTTGAGTTTTTATCATATTTTTTCAAGCCAATATCACGCATGAAATCAGTGTGAATATGTACAACCATCGTCCAAATTCATACATTTATAAGGGTAAAAATACTTTAATTTTTAATTGATGCACCATGGCGCGCCTATCTGGCCTCAAGTACAAGTTTTCTCATATATTTTCTGGCTAGTATTTTTTTAAACTTTTTTTTCCAAAGATGTGGTTTCTAAAACATTAATTATCGATATTAATTACTTAAAAATTAACTATTTCGGTTTTACGAAATTACTATAATTATATTATTGTTAATGATTTAGCATATTACTTTATATAAATATCAGAGGGATGTACCCAATTATATTATAATAAATTAATCAAAGAATATTATTTATAATGATAGTCAAAGGTGAGCATTGCATGTTTTAAAAATTAAAGTTCAGTTAAAAAGTTTTTATTTTAAATATTGAACTTAACTAGTTACTTAATTATTTAATCAATCAATTTTTTTTTCTTAATTATCTCATTCTTTAATAATACAAAAATTTCGTATTTTTTTCCCTACAAAATAATGTTAAATATAATAAATAAATTTGATAGGTAGTATCAGTGGCGGACGCAGTGAGGGGTTTTGGGGGTTCAACCTCCCCGAAATTAATGGATGATTCATTTCAAACGTAGTTATCCTACTTTATGTACCTTAACAAATTAATTGTTCAAAATATGATTAAAATATGCAAAAAAAAAAAATGTTTTGTTAAGAAAAGTGAATTTGTAATTTTCCAAACGTTGTAAAAGGTATTGGTACTTAAAACTCAAATTGTTGAAATTCCATGATAGCAATACTTCGTAAAAATAATGCGTGTTTGTAAGTCGCTTATTATCAGTAAGTAAAAATAAGTAAATATACATAATCGATATAATATTATTTACAATAGTACATTATGATTGACGGTTTCTCTAAATTTTGTGTTGTATGGTCATTCGATACGATCGACAATAGTCAATCTATAATCAATAGGCAATTATTTCAAAATAACGGTAATCAGGCCCGTATTTACAGGAGCATGGGTAGGCACATGTCCAGGGGCGTAAAATCTCAGGGGCTGCAAAATATTTTAGCAAAATTAATTTTAAAAATGATGTATCTGATGAAAAAAAAAAAATTAATAAAACAATAAAATAAAGAAAATAGTATGTTTTACTATGTTATAATTTGTTTAATTTGTTAATTAAAAAAATTTTTAAACAATTTTCATTTATAAGTTAGATTTTAATATTAAAAAATCTCGATTATGGAGGAAATAATAAGTGTTATATTATTATAATTTATTATTTTTTATTTTTTTTTTTTTTTTTTTTTTTTTTGAGATGGGCATAAATTATATGCCCGGGGGTGCCAAATTTTTAAATACGGGCCTGACGGTAATTATTCTTATTTTTTCTAAACCCCTCGAAATTTTTTTCTGCGTCCGACACTGGGTAGTATTGATATTAAAATGTGGCCACTATTCAGATTCTAGATATAAGAAAAACAACATAAAAACAATGTTTTATTATGTTGTTGACTGCATCGGTTATGTATGAATTTTCTCGAGTTTCTTCAATTTGTTTGTTATTCTTATAATTTTCAATCACACGCAAAATTTAGTCCATATCATTATGTGTGTTGTTTATTATTTATTAATTAATAAATATATTTTAATAGTTGTATCAGTATTATTTATCTTAATATTAAATATAATATGAATTTAATTACATTGTAAATTAAAAGAGTAATATACTATACTATTGCTATACTATTTACTAAATACCTATTATAATTAAAGTTCAGTTATATCAATCAATACAATTATTCATTATAATTTTAGAAATTTATTTCTTAAGATTTGTTTTCTACAGTTAACTAATTATTAAACTTCTAAGTAACGGGCAAAAGAGAAAAACGGGTTTTCACTCTACATAAAATAAAAATATAAATTCGAATTATGGTCATAAAGTTTACCCTAATTTCTTGCTAAATATTTGACTGAAAAACATTAAAGAAATCTCAAAATTTACATTGATTTGAGCAAGTGCAACGTTACGCCAATTTCTTGTTTTTTTTTTTATTACTATTGAACTGATGTCTTGCGAATTGTGATAATAGTCATACGAATTCATGTTAATTATATGCTAAATATTGGTGCAAACTGTTTACCAGAATATTAAATGAGCCAGCCTGGCATATTATATGTCCACATTTTCGTATTCATCTATGATCAAAATCTATAAAGGTAAACGTGTATTAACGAAAGTCAAGACGCATGGACGCATAATATCATGATAATATAATAATATAAAATATAATATATATATATATATATATATATATATATATAATATATATTTTATATAATATTATGTATATAAAAATACTAAACAAAATATTGTATACGTGCAGTATACAGACATAATATTAATTATTTCGGTTATTCGAAATAAATGTACTGTAACCATGGAAACTTTATACTTAGTTTATTCATCAGTTCGGTTCTGAGATTACATGTTGGTGTAGTGAAACTAGTCAGTTACTGCTCCCTCAGGACTAAGATGCGATATTGATAATCCTTTGTTGTTGACGCATCGTGTGGTTGTGAAAAACACTTCAAATTAAATAGGTCATCGTAATGCTTTGGTGATTTATTTTTTATTTAAGATTATATCCACATCGCAATAAAAAAAAATTGCATTGATCTAACATTAAGTGATTTTCGATTACACTTAATTGTTGTATTATAATACAATACTATGTTATATTTATATTATTCATGATAAGATTTAATTTATAATTTATTAATTATTGGATAATTAATTATATGGAATAAAAAGAAGTTTTACCATAATTGACTTGGTGAAATTTGTTAATAAATAATTTAATGAATACATTTATCATAGGAAATTTCTTTATTTTTTGTAAAAAAAAAAAATGTTTTGTACTACTTGTATTTACGTTGATTTAAATGTTTCTAGAAGTAATTTCATAACTATCTTTATAAATACATATATTAAATGATAAAACATTTGTGAAAACGTGGATTTTCATTAAAAAAAAAAAATGAAAAATATTATGTCTTTTAATACTAAACTTGAGACGATTATGAATAATGCAGTAATAATTTATTGTTTCATATTACATTAGTACGTAGTTTTGAAATTTATAAAACATTTTTCATATAACAAATTATAATTTACTGAGTAAATGGAATTGCAGCGACTAAATCAATTATCTAAAACGTGTCTTCTTTATTCGTTCACTTATAAAATAATAATGGAAAACAAAATATATTTTTATACAGCTTTAAAAGTGAGTTTAACCAGTATTCTATATACTTGGCAATTTATTTTTTTGAGTATATACATTTTATTTACATATTCATCATATTTATTTTTTATGTATATTGATAAACGATAATTTGAAATGTTACAACCAATTAAATATGAAATACATACTACGTCACGATGACACAGTAAAAAATTAATATTGTTTTCAAAAAAATGTTTTTAAATATTTTTGTATCACTGAAGATTTAGAACAAAAATGTTATAGTAATTAATAAAAATTTCATATTCCTTTCTAACTTCTTATAAGAGTACATTCAAGTTAAATCTAGTTAAATTCTATAGTAATAGATTTTTCGATGAAAATAGTTATTGCAATGATTTAATAACTGTAAATATAACGTGGACTATAAGCTTTATACGTTTGATACTATTATATTGATCATAAATTACTGCATGCATTTTTAAGTAGTTACGTTTAAACCTAAAATTGGTATGATCTATTATGATCCAGTTACTAAAGTTACTAACTTTAATTGGTAACGGAATAAAATAAATTAAATTAACATAAATTTCTCATTGGGTTCTTGGTTAAATTACTATTACAAAAGATACAAGTATTATAAATGTAAGAAATTCTAATCTAAAACATGACAAGAATTTATTTTTTAAAGATAATTTTCATAAATTAAAATTCATCAATATATATATTATAATTATAATATATATATTCAGTAACATTTTTAAGAAATGTTTAGGTTAAGTAAGCGTTTTAAGTATTACACGATAATAAGTGGATTATGCCTCTAATACAAATTTGTAGACAATTGAAATAGGTACTGTATCATCAAGTGAATCAAATATGTTATAATAATTTATTGGTATTCATTCAAAAATTTGTATTTAATTATGATATTAAACAACCGTATAAAACTTCAAAATAATACAAAACTTACTTTGGAGTCATGTGTCCAGTAAATCAGTGGTGGTGGTTCAGGACTGTGTTTTATGATGCAAGTTAAGTTCATAGTACTGCCCTTATTGATGAACATGTCTGGACCTCCAATGATTGTTGTTATGGGTTCTGAAAGTATATTTTGCTATTTTAAGTTATGTAAATTATACTTTAATATAATATAGAATATATTTAATAATAATATTATCAAATAAATTTTTTTAATAAATGATAAATATGCAGTTTTTTCGATTATTGTATCAAATCACATTTCTCAGTATTTTTCTTACAAAATCATAATTCAATTTTATTTAAAATAATATTTATTTTAAGAATCTGAGTATAGCAAGGAATATATTTAAATTGTATCATGGCGCGTTTATGTTTTTAATTTGAATTTTTTATTTTTTGTATTTGTCAAACACAATTTTAACCAAAATGCTTATTTTGATTATCAGAAAAAGAAATTATTTCTGATAGAAAATGTTGTTTTGTTGACACTTTTATGATAAAATGCTTTAAATTTCTCAACGTTTTTTTACAAATAGTTTTGAAAAATAGACATAAGTGTAAAATTTACGGAATAATAGATTTTTGACAAAGTCGAATTCATCTATTCGTCGCCAACCAAAAAATAATTATTGTAGAAAATTGAAATTTTATTGAATGCCAAAACTACAATTTTATATTGATAATATAATTTCAATACGGTATTCAATTTTTTTATTCTATTATAAGCATTCAAAATTTCTAGGTTTTTCAGTAAAATGTGAACAAATATATTTAATATATATGAACAAAGTTGTTGATATGAATTTTAATGCATCTAAAAAATATCGAATATATTTCGTAATATTAATATTAATATAATATTTTAATATTTTAGTCGCCACACTATATCTGTAATGTAATAATAATATTAGTAAACGTTCATTCAATTTATGTCTATCAGTAACCTATGCTATTTTAAGATATAGAGCATATAGCATATATAGCATAGATTTACCAGTCCTTTTTCACTCAATAATTGGTGCTTATCTAAATTAGTCACTCCTGATCTTTCCTAAATCTCACCTGATCGATGTATTGCTCCCATTTTTTTTTTCCATGTACAATGTTATTAAATAACTATTAAATATTATAGTAAATCTATACGTATTTGATGAATATACTTGTACATATATTATACAAGTATAATGCGTTGTAGAACTTTGTATGTTTTTATTTATAAATTATGATTTAAAAACTGATATGAATGCTGGAAATAACAACAATGATAAAAATAATTATGTCTCGTATAGTATGACCTAAATTTATGAACGGCACGAAATTCAATAACGAATGATAAAATAATATTGTTGATCACAATTTTTGTCACATCGATATAAATTATTATAAATGAAAAAAAAATCATTTAATTTTAACTAACAAATATTACATCTGTCAACATTATTTTTTTTATTGTAAATACAATGTTCATTTCATATTTCATAAATTAAAATATTATAAAATAGTATTTTTAAGCAATTAATAACTGCCTTAACTTATTTTATTATTATTAAAATAATAAAATAAAACGAGTAAGTGGTTAATACTCGTAAATTAATGTATAAATAAATAGCTTATATATACATATATAAATATATAAATAAATTATATTTTGGAAAAATTATTATATAAGTCACAATTTTATTGAATTTGTGTATACCTGATGATGAATTTTTAAGTCTAAACTGGTCGTACATTACAAATATAATTATATTTCAGGCTACACATTTATTTATTTATACATTCAATTATTTTGTTGCAGTTTTTCTTGGTAAAATGATTAATATATTTAATATGTTAAATTGTATTACACATAATAATGTGTGTTAATGTATTTTAACATTTTTTAATTTTTTTTTTTCAATTTATACTTATTTAATTACTCAGGTTTTTCATTAATACTCCAATTTCACCAATAAGAGATCTTATCTCAGTGGTGAGTTGGGCCATTAAATACGTTTTTTTTTCTATTATTGTAACTATATTGTAATTAAATATTATGGCCAATAAATCTTATTATTATTATTATTATTATTTATAATTTAAGAAGCAGATGTCAGTATCAATGAGTTATCATTTATTTTAGGGAAATTCGATTAATATGATTGGAATTGCTTGTTGACCATTTTAAAACGTTTATCCAATACATTTAATTAAAACTGTATTATAAATAATAAGTGAATAATAAAATACATATGATCAATATTAAGAGAGCGAAATATATTTAATACTACTTTGAAGTTTCTCAGTTAATAAACACCTATTATAGATTTTAATCCTCGATAAAAAATATTTATACTAAATACATATGATTCTATTGAATACTCATATTATTGAAATGTATATTTAGTTTTATATTATTCAATTTACCGCTGTTTTATATGTATTCAATATATTTTATACGTAAATTATTTTACATTTAACAATATTAAAAACATAATTTAACAGGTAAAGAAATCATTATAATGAATTAGATTCAAATTATTACTACATTAAAAATTTAATAATCAAACATTATAGCTTAAGTTACACAACAAAGAGACCAATAATCTAGTAATTTCGTATAAGTGTGTATGTTTTAGATGTTTTAGATTTATGGTGCAAATTATATTGAAGAAAGGGGATAATAGAAAAATGTATTATCAACTAAAGCGAATAATAGTACTGTAATTTATTATTTTTTGTGTAATTCTTAATAATACAATTTATTTTTTTAATTTAGTAACTTTATAAACACCTAGGACTGATTTTACTAATAAAAAAAAACCGTATTATATAACATTTATGATAATGATTTATATAAATTCCTTGAGTTTTAACCATATCTAATAATTTTAATTAAATTTTTATAAAATATAAGTAAATAACTAACTCTGTAGTAAATTTATTACTTTTTATTTAATAAGTTTGGCCCTGGTTAATATTTTAGTGAGAAATTTTGTGTTGACAGAACTTTATATTTTTGATTTATACCATTTCGTTTTTAAATTTGTTTATAGGATAATATCATTATATATTTTCTCTCTTCGAGTGTTTTCATGGCACTCATCATATTTATTTATTGTTATATATAAATTATTAAGCATAAATTGCAAAAAAAAAAAATATTTATGATGGTGAAAGTAATATAATAGCAGTTTTATATTATTGGATGTTAAAATGTTAAAAACAAAATCAATAGTTGATTGTATTTAAATTGCGAGATTATTTCCGGAAAAATATCATATTTTGTTTATTTTTATGCTTACTGTGCAATTTAAAATAATATAGCACATTATAAAATCAAGTAACGCAATTTTGTAATGTCGGAGGAAATTTCGGGTACAACGATTGATTTATTCGTATCTGAAAACTAGGAGTAAATATGTAATTTTTAAATAGTCACCATTGTTTGTACTTTTCATTTTCTGCAAATATTCGCATCGCAGATATGAAAAAAATCTAGTAAGGTGATATACGGACATTTTGTGTTATTACTGTTATTTTTTTATTTCGTTTTACCCTCGTTTAATATGCCGGTCTTGTCGATACATCGTCTAGTCGATACACCGGTCGTGTTCGTGAGTTTTTTTTCTCGAAAACGTTGCTGATAATCCTCGCTCGAAGAGATGACGACGGCGACGACGGCGAAGTGGCACAAGTCAAGATAATAATAATATGACGTGTAGTCTTCGTAAGGGATGATTGGCGGTGATATCATTTGTCACAGGGTAGGCTGACAGTCATTACGAGCACTCAAGAGCCATCTGCGTGACGTCTCCCCTTGGCCATAAGGGGTTTGTTCATCCCACCCTGGTGTAGACTATGTGTGTGGAGGTTGTCTACGTCACATACGCGTGTACATTTACTCTTTAGCATATACACACACGAGCGCGTGTGGGGATGCACCCGTGTTGTTTGAATAATATCTTTCGTCCCTAACTACATCTTAATTCAAAAAAAAAATAACTAGGTTTTTTTTTGGAACCTTTCACATCGTTCTCTCACATAATTCTGAAATTAAATTACCACCACGTTAACAATCAACTATTGTATAGCTCTCTCCGTTCGTCTACTCGACCCTATCCGGTACAGTTGTCCGCGGTTTTCATAAAAACTGTGCCATAAATTTTGTGACTGGACATGACTGAAACAGCAAACATACACACATATACACACAAAAATCGTTTAGCTTGAAACAATTTGGTTAGCACGTGTTTGACGACGATGGGGAAAATCGTTAATATATTTTAAAAATGTCATGACAATATCATGAAATTTTCAGCGTTAAAAAATTAATTTCGCATAAAAAATGTACTTTATATCGTGGATATATGATAGTTTTTGAATACTCCTGTGTTAGATTTTTACTATGCTATCAAATACATTTCATTAATTTATCACGTTATTATTTATTGTTTTTAACTATTATTATATTTACGATGGTAACATATATTTTTCAGTTCATTTCTTGTTATCATTGTTGGTTTAAGAGTTCAGGAAATATATATAATAAAATTTTATTTAAAGGTTTTACATTTTTACAACTTAAAATTATACTATAAATTAACTATTTAACCTATATTATTAATAAACTGTACAAAAATCGTTAGAACTAATGAATACAATATCAAGTATTATTTGGAATATTGTAATATCCTCTTAAAATTACATAAATATATTGCATTGCTGTTACTTTATTAATTTTTTTATAAATGGATTAACTGTTTTTATTATTTTAAAGAAATATTTTTTTTCTTTAATTTAACTGTTAATAAGAAAAAAATAATATATTTGAAGAGTTTAAATTTTTAAGAATTTCAATTCATAATTTTTTATCAATATATAACCTAATACTTCTTCGAATTTGTTTCAAATTATTAATATTAGAAGTGAGGTTCAAGCAAAAAAAAAAAAGTTTATTCAAAAATTATAAATTCGGGCTTGAAAGGATTAAATTTCACTTTTTCATGATTTGTTATTGTTTTTGTAATACTTTTAATCCATTTTGCTATCAAGCTTAAGCGTCAATTTCAAAAAATGTTAACTGACATTTTGTATAAGGATATCAAAAATATACATAGCGTTCTACTCTAGCCCTA